TGGATTATTGCTATCAATAAGATTTTTGGTGTAGCTGGTTAAAATGGGATATCATGTGATATAGACTTAAAACCAGTATAATGTTTAATATCCATTTTGATAAAATTAAAATTTATATCTAAGCACTAAAGCCTAAGCACACAAAAAATAACTGAGCAAAAACAGAATGAAAATGCAAAATGAAAACAAGAATTACAACGTTACAAGCATGATACTATGACTAACAAGATAGGATCTTCCCGTGGCACAAAATCAGTCGTGTTCACGCATGCCGTCATTGGAGAGTAGAATTTGAATTCTTGTTAAAGTTAAATGGGATTTGTATGCATTCTGTAATGAAATTACTAGACGAAAATAAGTTAAGAGGTTTAATAATTACAATAAATCGTACACATAAGGATATCTCCAAACTATTTATTAAAGATTATTTATTGATACATACAAAAAACTGACATTTCGAACGTGCAACTCCCAATGACGTCACGACTTATGCGTTATCTTATCTTCTTATAGTATCATGGTTATGAGAGGTAAAGGTAACCTTTAACCATTAAATATTTTGACATAAACTTCTTCTTTTTCTCCATGGCCTCTTACGTAAGTAGTCATCCAGTCGCAGGAACTTATATCTTAAATATTAAAATTATAATGAATAAAATAAAAAGGCGTAATAACTTTTACTATTAATTCTGTATATTCGTTCAATAATCAGTTTACAATAATATTTTAGTTCATAATTTTGTATTTTTAGATAAATATCTATTTTTCTCTTTTTGTCATATTTCACTTACACCGATTTTACAAGAAAAGTACAAGTTTCAAACCGCGAGATAGCGCTACCGGCGAAGCTCACAGCGAATAGCAGAGTAATATTATGAACTAAAGATAACAATTCTCAAAACATGAGACTTCCTATTCATTCCATTTGATTCTATCAAGACCTACAAAAGACCTATAAACGAATAAAAATTTTCTATATCTAGATCTTTACTAAAACAGTCTTTGTTCGGAGTATTTTATATCTATACATTTACTAAAAAAATCTTTGTTCGGAGTATTTTACAAAGTAAATACTTTATTCCACAAGAACAGCGTGAATAGAGCGAATACAGCGTTTTTTTAGAAGATGATCATTCGGTTCATTCGGAGTATTTTCTTCAAATGAATATGCATCCTAATAAAGAAATATTAGGATACTGTTATGTACAATTCTGGTGGATTGACACTGGAGATTTTCTATTCATAAAAGTTTAATTACCAAAATATTCATTATTATTATGCTTGATACATAAACTAATCGTATACATGTAGTTTAAAGAATTTATATGACCGAACTTATACCATAGCAAATGAAAATAATGATATGATGTTAATATTACATTACATTACATTAATATTACATATTCCTCCGTGTGGAGTTGTCTGTCTCCCATCGGACGCGTCCCCAGGTGGTGGATAGGGGAACGCCCTAACCGGTCCTAGGACCGGCGGGTAGGTGGGAAATAAAATACCACCCGTGAACCAAAACGGACTAAGGTATGGTAACCCTAACAGAAGAGTCCCTGGCCCTCCAGGTTGGAGGTTGGGCTTAGGGCTAACAACTCTACCCCGTAAAAAAATATCGTTACGAAATCTACAGCTAAAGAAACCGGAAGGAACTTACGACGACGACCAATGCAACGAAATAAGGACAAAGATTTAAAAATTTACACGTGGAATGTGCGGACACTTTATGAACCTGGAAATCTTAAAAAATTAATAGACATACTAACTCAATATAAAGCACACATTACTGCTGTGCAAGAAGTAAGATGGACTGGCCAAGGAATTATCCAAAAGAGACAATGCGATATATATTACAGCTGTCACAAGAATAATCACGAATTCGGGACCGCATTCATTGTTAACAAAAAAGTAAAACATCTTATTATGGACTTCAAACCAATAAGTCCAAGAATATGTTACCTAAGAATAAGAGGTAAGTTTTTTAACATCAGTCTCATAAATGTACATGCCCCAACCAAAGACAAAGAAGAGGATGTCAAAGATCAATTCTATGAGGAAGTAGAGACCATCTACGATAGATGTCCCAGAAACGACATCAAGATCATAATTGGAGATCTTAATGCAAAAATAGGGAAAGAAAATATATATAGTCCATACATCGGAAAATGCAGCGCTCATGACGTCACCAACGACAATGGAAATAGAATAATAGGATTTGCAGCATCCAAGGGCATGGTCGTTGGAAGTACCTACTTCCCCATAAGAATATCCATAAAGTAACATGGACGTCGCCTGATGGTACAACCAAAAATCAAATAGATCACATCCTAATAGAAACCAGGCACTTCTCTAATCTAATGGATGTACGTACTTATCGTGGAGCTAATATAGATTCAGACCACTTCTTAGTAGGCGCAAAAATAAGAGCAAGAATCTCAAATGCAAAAAAAGAAAAGGGTAAGAAAAGTACTCGATACAATTTAAAACTCTTGGAAGAGCCCCGTGCACTAGAAAGGTATCAAAATTACCTTGAACATGAAAGCACAACAGATGAGAATTTAACAGCTAGCGAGCAATGGGATATATGTAGAAGAACAATTAAGGAAGCGGCAAACAACGTCCTAGGACCAGAAGAATCCACTCCACGCAACAGTTGGTTCGACGATGAATGTGAAGATATCACTAAAAGAAAAAATTATGCATATAAACTTATGCAACAAAGAAGAACACGGGATAAGGAGCAAATGTACAAAGATCTTAGGAAGGAGGAAAAACGCATACATCGAAGGAAAAAGCGGACCTTCGAAAACCAGATTATGCAAGAGCTTGAATCATTAAAGGGGCAAAATGAAACTAGAAAGTTCTATAATATCCTAAATAAGACAAGAAAAGAATTTAAACCACGGCTGACGATGTGTAGAGACAAAAATGGACATATAGTCAGTACCGCTGACGCAGTACAAAGCAGATGGGTTGAGCACTTCAAAGAACTACTTGGTACCGAAGTGGAAAATGATGCGTCACCCCAAAGACCAAGAAATAACACTCACGTAGAACCTCCTTCAATATTTGAAGTGAAAGACGCAATCACACGACTCAAAAATGGCAAGTCCCCAGGAGTGGATTGTATCCCCGGAGAGCTCATCAAACATGGAGGTAACAGCATTATGCACCAAATTCACAACATAATAGTCAAAGTCTGGGAAGAAGAACAAATGCCAGAGGAATGGTGCACTGGAATCATATGTCCACTACACAAAAAGGGAGATTTGTTGGAATGTAAAAATTATAGGGGTATAACTCTTCTGAATACAATGTACAAAATATTCTCCAACACCCTGTACAGCCGTTTAAGTACGTACGTGGAAGAAATCCTTGGTGAGTATCAAAGCGGTTTTAGGCCAGGTAGGTCAACAATTGACCAGATTTTTGTGCTACGTCAAATCTTAGAAAAAACCAATGAATTTAATATTGACACGTTCCATCTCTTTGTGGACTTTAAGTCAGCGTATGATAGCGTCCTAAGAGGTAAACTATACGAAGCCATGAATGAACTTAACATTCCCCATAAATTAATAAGGCTCGTAAAAACAACTATGAGTAAAGTGATCTGCAGAGTGCAAATACAAGGCGATATGTCACAAGCGTTTGAAACATATGCAGGGTTACGGCAGGGAGACGCGCTGGCGTGCCTTCTCTTTAATATAACGTTAGAAAAGACTATAAGAGATGCCGAGTTACACAATAGGGGAACAATCTTTAATAAATCAACGCAGATTATGGCGTACGCTGACGATTTGGATTTGATTGCACGTACTACACGAGGACTTAAAGAGATGACTTCCACCTTCTTGACAGCCGCACAAAATATGGGCCTTAAAATAAACGAGGAAAAAACCAAAATGCTAGCATCTATTCCAAATAACAGAGATAGAGCTAGAAACGCCGAACAAAACTTCAGTATAGACCAATATAATTTTGAGGTAGTAAATAAGTTTACATATTTGGGTTCTCTCATAACAAACGATAATGACACATCTGAAGAAGTTAAACGGAGGGTACTGCTAGCAAACAAATGTTATTTTGGACTAAGCAAGCAGCTAAAAAACAGAAACTTAAGCCAGAAAACCAAACTAATAATATATCGAACACTCATCCTACCAGTGCTGACATATGGGTCAGAAACATGGACCATCTCCAAAACAGACGCAAATCTTCTGCTCGTCTTCGAAAGAAAGATACTAAGAAGAATAATGGGCGCATTCTGTGAGAATGGTATTTGGAGAAGGCGATATAATTTCGAATTGTACGAGAAATATAAAAAAATAGTAAATGGTAGAGATGTAATATCCTTCATAAAAATAGGCAGGCTTAGATGGGCTGGACATGTGTCAAGAGCAAATGAGAATTACCTACCCAGACGAACTCTATTATCGGTCCCAGTGGGAAATAGGAGTAGAGGCAGACCACGACTGAGATGGAGGGACGGTGTGGACGAGGACGCAAGGAAAATCGGCGCGGCAAATTGGCAACGGTTGGCGATGAACAGAAACGACTGGCGAAATAGACTGGGGAAGGTCAAGGCTCAACTAGAGCTGTAGCACCACTGATGATGATGAAATACTTTATTCCACAAGAACAGCGTGAATAGAGCGAATACAGCGTTTTTTTAGAAGATGATCATTCGGTTCATTCGGAGTATTTTCTTCAAATGAATATGCATCCTAATAAAGAAATATTAGGATACTGTTATGTACAATTCTGGTGGATTGACACTGGAGATTTTCTATTCATAAAAGTTTAATTACCAAAATATTCATTATTATTATGCTTGATACATAAACTAATCGTATACATGTAGTTTAAAGAATTTATATGACCGAACTTATACCATAGCAAATGAAAATAATGATATGATGTTAATATTACACGCTATAGTCAACCAATATTACCTATAGTGTATGTATTTAATTTATTAATATCTATTAACTTACCTTTAAAAGAGTGAGAATTTTTTGTGACAAGTCGTAATCAAAATTTGAGTATTTCGAATTCGACATGTCGTATATGAAGACAATACCAGCCTTTTGAGTTGTTGGGTTTTGCAAGGCACAATCCAGTTGATAGACAACACCCTGTAAAGTAGTTTGGTGCGTGCTATTCGCAGGTAAGTGCTTATGAGCAGTGAACACAGCTATGGCGGCATCTGCCGAGTCCCGTTTTGGCTGAAAAAAAAGAAATTTGTTTAATATATAACAGAGTCCCCTGGCTGGCTATAGCTGGCAGTAAATGTCACAAATGCGACTACAGCCTTAATGTTGGACAAGAACAGACCCAATATAAGAAGAAGATATTTAGCAGTTAGATCTTGCAGAAAAAGTGACCAGTATATTGTTTATATTCTAGATGTTCAGACAATTTGTTAATAATAATAATAATTAGCCAAGGAAGAGAATTATTATTTTTTATAAAACCCATTTCCAAGTTCTGCTAGGAACACAAAAAAATCTATTCACACAACATTCTTTGGATCGGAAGAAATAAAAAAAAACCCGACTCTTATATGAGGTTAAACAAGCAAAACAGGCGCAAAGAAACAATAAGGTGCCGGGATAGGACGATCTTCACTCCCAATATTTAAATTAGGTGAAGGACACCCAGCAATATAGATGCATGCACTCATATCCAAGATATTGATAAAGATCATCGTCAGAAATGGCTCTGAAAAGAACTGTAGGATTATTTATCTTAAGCTCTTCCTTTCATGTTCAAGCTTGGTGGTGACTTACCAGGAACGCCGACTGCTTTATCGCTTAAGATGAATGGCAAAGAAAGCAGTATTCGGGGAGGCTCCTTCGGTGTCCCCTACGAAAGAATTCTAGTAGAGAGGGTAAAGCCAATTCTCAAGCCTCGTCTGGTTTCTGAACAGGCTGAGTTCAGACCGGGAAAGAACTGTACTAGCCAAGTCCTACATCACTCTGAACACATAGAACAGGGCGACCAAGACAAACGTCTTGGTCGCCCTGTCTGTTTGTATAATTACAGGTGTGTCATGCGTATACCTAATCGCAGCGTATGACACTGCCAGCTATAGACTACTCCTTAAAAAGGTCAGAATCTAAACCTTTTCAGGGGAAGAAAGCCGCACGCGAAACCAGAAGAATGACCTAGCGCAGGGTGAGATACTATCACCCATGTTATTTAACGTGTACACTAACGACCAAACAATCATTCAAACTGCCGAGCACTTCCTGTTTGATGACGACCGTGCATTGGCCATACAAGACCTTTGAAGGGGTCGAAACCAGGCACTAGGAAGCATTTCGTTATCTTACAATTTACTACCACAAAATCTCGCTAGAGAGGCAAAAAGAAAGCTGAAGATCAAAAGGAGCAGACACCAATTGGAACATGCGGAGCATCCAATATACCTCGGAGTAAAGATAAACAGAATACTCACTTACAAAGCTCACTGCCAAAAGGACCGCTCTAAAGATAGCATCCCGTAAAAACCTACTTCGCAAACTTCCCTACTCTAAATGGAGCTTCCAGTCAAACGTCTCTTAGCTTCTCCACGGGCGATCATGCATGCCCTGTCCGGAGTAGATCGGCACATGCTAAGAAAGTGGATGTGGCCTTAAACGAAGCATTCCGAATAGCAACGCCACTAGAGAAACTATATCAGTGTGCGGGGATCGACCGATGGAATAGACTTAAAGCTACAGTCATTTGACGACAGACATGTGATATTCGATAACATAAGATGGAACATCACATGTCTGTCGTCTGTGTCGTCTGCCGTCACATCTTATCGAAAACTTAAGTATGAATAGTGCTGAGATGGGAATTACGATAAACACTAAAAAAACGAAGTACATGCTAATTACAAAAAGACCACAAAATATACATCACCTATTGACAATCAATGGTAACGTGATAGAACAAGTAGAAAAATATCAGTACTTGGGAACTTTGATCAATGAGACCAATGATCATACTGCAGAAATAAACAGGCAAATAGAGATTGCCAGATCAGCATTTACACGAATGAAGCCACTCCTAACGTGCAAAAATCTAAATTTGGAGATCAGACTACGTATCATTTGCTGTTCGATATTTTGAATATTATTATATGGAGCTGAGACTTGGACATTAAAAAATGCAATTTAAAAAGAATCGAAGCTTTCGAACTCTGGTTATATTGTAGAGTATTAAAAATATCATGGACTGATAGAATTACAAATAAAAAAGTACTGGAGAGGGTTGTTAAAGAAACAGAACTAATCAGCAATAAACAAACCAGAAAACTGGAATACCCAGGCCACGTGATGAGGGGACCAAAATATGAAATTTTGAGACATAATACAGGGAAAGATTCAAGGAAGAAGATCTGTTGGCCGAAGGCAGAGCTCATGATTGAAGAATTTACGTAATTGGTATCAATGCAGATCGATTGATTTGTTTAGAGCAGCAAGTTCAAAAATAAAAATAACCATTATAATTGCCAACCTCCGTAGGGAGACGGCACTCTCTAAGAAGAAGATGTGATGTTCATTGCGGAAGAGCAATCATAAGAAGACCTGCAGCTAAAATCCAGGAAAGATTTACTCAATAGCAAAAAAAACACAGAAGTTAAAACACTTCACAATTGTGTATTTTGGTATAAAAACATACAAGTACTTAAAAACTTTTTAAAAGTGTCGTCAACATTTAAAATTCTGGCAGAACGTTTTCAATCTATACAGATCATCTTCAGTGCCTTTTGTATTTGGTGCTAACAATAAGGTGTCTATAAGACTTCCATGTGTGGATTTACAAAATATCACATTTTACATTTAATAATGTTGAGACTCTAGGTCGATGACAATGGAATTGTTTTTAAAATTAAAATTTACTTTAGGGACTACATGTCTCTTAAGCTCGAATACTTGCACGTGGTACTTGTCAGTTCGTTTCAACTGACAAGTACCACGTGCAAGTATTGACGACACTTTTAAAAAGTTTTTAAGTACTTGTATGTTTTTATACCAAAATACACAATTGTGAAGTGTTTTAACTTCTGTGTTTTTTTAAACGATGGTATACAGCCAATTACGGGGTTTTCCCATTAATTTTTACTCAATAGCGTTCCCGTGGGACATTCAGCCTGGTATCCTCCGAAATCAAATCAACCGACTGGTTTAAACTGAGTCAATTTGCGGTTGTAAGCCTTGAAAATCGTAATTTTGCTTTTTTTTCAGTTTTAAATTATTTATAACTCGAAAACGATCAACTTTAGAGAAAACTAACAACAGATATTTTTTTATTATAGTGATCTAAAATATCTAAAAAAAATGAACCTAATGAATCGCGCATGACAGGGTGGGCGCTCATTTGTACAATGAAAATTTAAACCATTTTATAATTATTATAAATTTTCTTATAGCTGGTAGTATTTTTAATTACTATTTACAAACATTGTAAATTGTACTATTGGAGATGATATTGCGCAAAAATATATAATTCTTTATAGCTGACACACAATTTAGTTGATAAAAGGACTCTGGTAATTCTACGAAAATTATATGCAATTATACCAGAAGTTTACTTGAAGTTTTATTATAAACGTTCAAAGTTTTCTCATTTTTGTTATTAAATAATGGAAAAGTTATATCTATACTAAAACTACAAATTACCATTTATATTATTTGATAAAGTTATATTTTGACAATATCGGTTTATTTGTGACCATTAGTTGTTTATTGAATTACGGTATCAGTAGTATTTTGAATTGATTATCTATCAGTTAACTAGTAATATGGTTAAATAGATTTAATTATTAAAACAAAATTAAAATTACTGGGGATACACACAAATATTGTGATATTATTACATATTTATTATAAATTACATGTCTCCTAGGGACGAAATACTGGTAACAATGCATTTCGGTTGACGGATGCATTAGTCCTTGTAAGGATCGTGATATGTACAGGAACACGTAAAAAAGTATATATCACAGAAAGTGATGGAGTCGAAAGAAGCTGGGCAAAAATTAAGTCTAACATCTTAGCCTCGGCAAGGAAGTTCTTGATGAAAGAAATATAAATAAAAATAAATCCTTCCCAGGGCGAAGAACTCCATGGTTTTGTACAGAAGTGAAGGAAAAATATAAAGAAAAGAAAACAGCTTACCCGAAATAAATGTCAAACAAAGCACCAGAGGCATACCATAATTACAAGACAATTAATTGAAACGAAACATATGCACTTGTAAGAAAAATAAAAAATGATCACCGGAACGCTTTTCGAATCATGATTTTTACGGTCTGCAAAAGGAAATATATCGCTTCATAAAAGGTCAAAGAACGGAGGTAAAGGGACTAATAGAACCAAAACACATACAATAGGATACGTGGATTGACTACCTAAAAAAGCTAAATGCAGAGGAAGAACAAACGACGCTAGAACCGGAAACACCAGAAATTATCACAAATGAAGAACTTAATATAAATGTACAGGAAGTACCTGAAGAAAACTTGAAGAATAGAAAACCAGCAGGTAAGGACGGGATACCAAACGAGTTACTGAAATATTGTGAGCAGCATTTTCAGAACAATTAACAACATTAATTAATAAAATTACACAACACAATAAAATACCGGAAGAATGGAAAACGAGCGAACTAATTCTACTATTCAAAAAAGGAGATAAAAAACAGCCAAGAAAGTACAGAGGTGTAAACTTGTTAAATATTACGCTAAAACTTACAAGTAAAATTTTACAAAAGCTAATACATCAGAGGAAAAGTTTAGCAGATAAACAGTGTTTTCGTAGTGGAAGATCGTGTACAGATGCAATATTCGTATTAAAGCAAATTACTGAAAAATCACTAGAGTATAATAGACTAGCATATCTGTGTCTGATTGACCTAAAGAAAGCGTTTGGCAGAGTAAGAGTCAAAGATTTAATCCATCTTCTGTATAATAGAGAAGCTCCCCTAAATATTATAGAAACTATCGAAAAGATCTACCAAAACAACAAAATGGATGTCAGAATAGATGGACAACTTACAGAACCTATAGAAATAGGTAGCGGAATAAGACAGGGGGCAATGAGCCCCATGTTCTTCAATTTGATCATGGATGAAATCATCAAAAGCGTTAACAAAGGAAGAGGATACAGAATGGAAAACAAAGAAATCAAAATACTCTGTTACACAGACGACACAATATTGATAACCCAAG